CCCAGTGGGGGTGTTCGCATGCGGTCCCCCCCAGGGCAGGCCACCGAAGGCCCCAGTGGGGGTGTCCACATGCGGTTCCCCCACCCAGGGCAGCGTTTCGTAGCCCCATAGGGAGCTGCACCGAAGGTCCCAGTGGGGGTGTCCACATGCGGTTCCCCCACCCAGGGCAGCGTTTCGTAGCCCCATGGGGAGCTCCACCGGAGGCCCCAGTGGGGGTGTCCACATGCGGTTCCCCCACCCAGGGCAGCGTTTCGTAGCTCCATAGGGAGCTCCACCGAAGGCCCCAGTGGGGGTGTCCACATGCGGTTCCCCCACCCAGGGCAGCGTTTCGTAGCCCCATAAGGAGCTCCACCGGAGGCCCCAGTGGGGGTGTCCACATGCGGTTCCCCCACCCAGGGCAGCGTTTCGTAGCCCCATAAGGAGCTCCACCGAAGGCCCCAGTGGGGTGCCCGCATACGGTTCCCCCACACAGGGCAGCGTTTCGTAGCACCATAGGGAGCTCCACCGGAGGCCCCAGTGGGGGTGCCCGCATGCGGTTCCCCCACACAGTGCAGCGTTTCGTGGCCCCATAAGGAGCTCCACCGAAGGCCCCAGTGGGGGTGCCCGCATGCGGTTCCCCCACCCAGGGCAGCGTTTCGTAGCCCCATAGGGAGCTCCACCGAAGGCCTCAGTGGGGGTGTTCGCATGCGTCTCCCCTACCCAGAGGTAGTTCCACCGAAAACGATATTCATATTTGCGGTATTCACAACTGCATATGGTTGGGTCCTTCGCCAGGCTAATTTTTTGGACCCCCCTCGGGGCGTCCCGGGGCGCTCGGCAGCGACCGCGGCGCCCGACTTGTTTCCCCTAGAACCGCCATATCTCTCAGAGATCTCCGATTTGTCTGGGTTCGATGTTGTGCCAGTCCAGGCTTCGTCTTCGCGTGCGCGCCGAGCCTTCGTGGCCGAGCCCTCATGGCCGGCGAAAGGAGGGAGAAGAAGGAGGGGAAAGAGGGGGAGAAGGAGGAGGTGGAGGAGGAGGAAGAGGAGGAGGAGGAGGAGGAGCGAGGAGGGGAGGAGGAGGAGGAGGATGAGGACGAGGAGAAGAGAGGAGGAGGACGAGGAGGAGGAGGAGGAGGAGGATGAGGAGGGAGGGAGGAGGAGGAGGAGGAGGAGGAGGAGAAGGAGGAGGAGGAGGGCCGGCGGAGCCGCGGGCCTGCGAGCCGAGGGCGACCCCCTCCGCGCGGGCCAGGGCTCGCGCGGGGCGGAGAGCGCCGGGAGAGCCGCGGGGCCCGGAGCAGCGCGGCAGCGGGCCCCGCGGGGGGCCCGCGGGGGGTCCCGCGGAGCAGCGGCGCTCTCCTCGGGCGGTGCCCCGAGCGAGGGGCCCCGCTTGGAGGGTTTCTCCGAGGGGCTTAGGCGACCTGTCCTCCTCATTCTCTTTCTCCTCTTTCTCCTCCTCCTCCTCCTCCTCCTCCTCCTCCCTCCTCCCTCCTCCTCCTCCGCCATCTCCTCCTCCATCTCCTCCTCCTCCCCCTCCTCCAGTCCTCCTCCTCCTCCTCCTCCTTCTCCTCCGCGGGTCGCCTACGGCCCGGGGGAAACCGTGCAGCCCCGCTGGGAAGACATCGTGACGGGTGGTCTTTCGTTGTTGTCATCCTCCGGGGGCCCGTGCCGGGCCCCTGGTCCGCCAAAACTATTTCTTTTGTGCGTCGGCGGCTGGGCAGGGGACGTCTGCGTTAGCGATGGGGTGCCCAAGCGGGGATGCCGTTAGAGCGAGTTGTGCCACCATGCAAGAGGAGGAGCGGGGGGAGGGCGCGGCCGAAGGAGGGGCGGACGGAGCAAGCGGCTCAGGGGGGACAGATCGCTAGGACCGTCAAAACACGACACAGGACGAACATCACGCCGTCAGGGGCCTGGGGGGGGGGGCGGCGAGGCGAAGCGAGCCCGACAGCGCCGCCGTGGGTGTGCCAGGCGTCTGTCGAAGAAGGAAGAAGACAAGCTGCGAAAACATAAACTTTTGGAGCTCCTCGCGGACTTCTTGGATCCACGCAGGTGCCGCCCCTGGCGCGCTCCGCGCGCCAGGGAGGGGGGGGGGGTCTGGCGCAGATCCAAGAGATCCGCGCGGAACGCCAACCGTTTCTGTTTATGCAGTTTTTTTGGTTCGTTCTATTCCTTTTGATTATTCTTCTTCTTCTTCTAAGTATGGGGTGACGCGCCGCGGGGCACCAGGCCCGGGGCAGCGCCAGGATGTCAGAGGCCCAGATCAGGGCTCTGGACTCGCCTCCGCTCGCAGGAGCACACCGGCCGCGAGAAGGTCGCGGAGGCGAGGCGTTGCTGCGGGCGCGAGAGTCGGGCGGGTGGTAACGGGGGGTGACCTAAATGGGGGGTGACGAAAAGGGCCCTGAAGGAGCGCTTTCGGGCCTCCTTTGGAGCCAGCAGGGGCCCAAAAGGGGCCTTACAGGGCCCCTTTAGGGCCGTTTTCTTCACCCCCCATTCAGGCCACCCCCCATTACCACCCGCCCGAGAGAGAGAGAGAGAGAGAGAGAGCCTGGATACTGGTGCGGGGCACGGCGGCACGGCGTCACTGGTGCCGAGGCTTGGCGCATCGGCAACCGCCACGGAGGAGCCAGCGTCGGCTGGGGTGAGGCAACGGAAGCCGCATGGGCCCGATTCGTGGACGACCAACAAAGGCACCACGAACATATCTATATGTATGCATGCATGCATGCATGTATGCATGCATGCATGTGTGTATGTATATCTGTCTGTCTGTCTGTCTGCATGTATGTCTGAATGTATGTATGTATGTATGCATGCATGCATATACGTATGTATGCATATTTGTATGCATGCATGTACACATGCATGTACGTACATATGTATGTATGTATGTATGCATGTATATATGTATGCATGTCTGTCTGTATGTATGTATGTATGTAGGTATGTATATATGTATGCATTCATATATGTATGTATGCATGCATGCATGTATGTATGCATATATGTATGTATGCATGTCTGTATGTATGTATGTCTGTATGTATGTATGTATGTAGGCATGCACGCATGCATGCATGCATGTATATATGCATGCACGCATGCATGCATGTATATGCATACATATGTATATGTATGTATGTATATATGAATATATATATATATATGCATGTATGCGTGCATGTATGCATGCATGCATGCATGCTGTATGTATGTGTGTACGTATGTATGTACGTACGCACGCACGTATGTCTGTATGTATGTATGTACGTATGTATGTACGTATGCATGCATGCATGTATGTATATATGTATGCATGTATGCATGTATGCATGTATGCATGTATGTATATATGTATGCATGTATGCGTGTCTGTATGTATGTATGCATGCATGCATGCATGCATGCATGTAGGTATGTATGTATGTAGCTATGTATGCATGTATGTATGTATCCATGTATGTATGTATATACACATGGAAACCCATATATATACATATATATATATATACATACATCTATATATAAACAAATGCATGTCGGGCCCCTTAGTGCCGTTGGCAGGCGCTCCAGGATCGCCAACAAGAGCTTCCCAGGACGAAGCGCCCGTCCCCCGGGGAGTGGGCCCCGACCCCCCTGGGGGAGCTGCGCGCGTGGGCGTCGGACGCCCCATGGGCCGTTGGGGCGGCCACGCGGCGTGCGCGACTTCGGGCCTCGGCGCGTCCCTCGCGAGGCATCTGCGGGCGCAGCCGCCACGGTTAAGTCGGGCCTGTCCCTCTACAGGGGGGAGTATTCAAAAATGATAAAGAAATAGTCTGGAGACTATGTTTTTTTTGTTTTTAGTTTGTTTTGGCCATTTTGGAGTATTGTTTGAATATTTTTTGTTTTTCGTTCGAAAACCCCCTGTAGGGGGACACGCCCGACTTAACGCCACGGCGACCCAGGAGGGCGCCAGAATGCCGCCTGGGCGGCCCGAGATTCGGGAGGGAAAACAAAACACACAGACACAATGAGTCGTCGACTCCCAGGAAAACGTGAGAAAACATGGGGAATGGGGGGGAGGACGAAAATCCAGAAAATCCAGAAAATCTGGAGAACCATGGGGGATCCTGGGATTCGTGTGTATTTGTTTGTGTGTCCTTGGGCCCCTAGAGAGATGACCCGCGAGCTATGGTGTTCCAACCTGCTGTAGCCGTGACCACCAGAAATAATGTCGAGCACCAAAAAAGTACCGAAGCTCGAGGGTTGTCACGTTTCGGGCCCTGGGGGAGAGACTCGTCCGACACTGTTTCAACACCGTTTCGACGCTGCTTCGACACTTCCGGGTGCTCGAAATCATTTTTGGGATGTGGTCCTGAAGTACGCTGGGAGCAACATAACCCCAGAGGCCCAAAGAACCCGCAAAGGAGGTTCCAAAGAACCCAGCGAGCTGAAACGTACAAGGTTCCCTGTGAAAGACTGGCCCTGCTAGGCGCCCAAAAGGCCCTAGAGGGCCCAAGCACATCCAAATATTGTCAACAAGGGCATGAAGCCACTTCCCGCTTCTCCCGGCTCCTTAGCATGCAACTCCTGGGAGGTCCAATCCAGCATCGGCGCTGGCATATCCGTTGTCGAAGACCGTCCGACTCAGGTATAATCCCTTTGAGTTTCGCCTGATCCCGCCTGATCCGCTATTGATTCGCTCTTATCCCCTGTCATCCCGCTTAGTCTCGCACAGTCCTTCTGATCTCGGCCAATCCAGCTTAATTTCAGGCTTTAATCCGGCTTAATCTGGTTTACCAGTACCTTAATTCGGCTTGCAAGGAGGAGGAGGAGCAGGAGGAGGAGGAGGAGGAGGAGGAGGAGGAGGAGGAGGAGGAGGCGAGAGGAGGAGGGGGACGGGTCGCCTAAACCCTTCGGAGAAGCCCTCCAGAGCAGAGGCAGTACCAAGACGGCACGCCGCTGAGGGGGGAACCCCTCGGCGTGCTGTTCCGGTGGCTGGGAGGCCGGTGGCGGCAGCGGGTGCACCCCCCCTCCCGCGCCGAGGGCTATCGGGTTCCAGATCAGCCACCACGTGCAAACGGAGTGCACGCCTCTATGGTCGCTGCAGCACCGATCCGTCGCTCAGCGCGCCCATTCCGTGGGGAGGGGGGAGGAGGAGGAGGAGGAGGAGGAGGAGGAGGCGGAGGAGGAGGAGGAGGAGGAGGAGGAGGAGGAGGAGGACCAGTGGAAGCCCAAGAGTCATCAACGATGCTGGAATAAACCCTCCCTCCAAGCTCCCTCTTCATGGGCCCCTGCAACGGTTCATTTCCATTGAGGGAACTGCCTCGTTGGAAGACAACAGTTTGAAGATCCTGAAGCGTGCCAAAATATTGCTCTTGGGATTTCAACGCCACGTATCAATCTGACTGCTGCGTCTTGACGATCCAGAATCGTGTCAGAACACCATCTTGGGGACTTCAACACAGCGAATCAACATAACTGTTGCGCCCGCATAATCCTGAATCCTTCCAAAACACCATTTCTGGTACGTTGATCATGGGAACCCGTGGATCTCTTGCAATTTTTTGAAACGACTGTGCTCGGCGCTAAGGCGAGAGCCGCATTTTGAAAAGGAACCGCCCTGAATCCGTGAATCTCTTGCAGGTTATTAATAACGAATGTGCGCGGCGCTATGGCGAGAGCCACATTTTGAAAACGACTCCTCCTCCATCTGTGAAGCTGTTGTCACTGTTCAAGCTTCAGAGTCATGAGTGGTGAGGAAGTCTCAGGCGAACCCCCTGGCCCGCCCTGAAACTGGCTTCGGGGAGCGACAGGGAGGAGTCATCTATAAGGAGAAGGAATGGAGGAGGAGGAGGAGGAGGAGGAGGAGGAGGAGGAGGAGGAGGAGGAGGAGGAGGAGGAGGACGAGGAGGAGGAGGAGGAGGAGGAGGAGGAGCGGAAGGAGGAGGAGGATGAGGGCGGATGCGGATGCGGATGCGGATGCGGAGGAGAAGGAGGAGGAGGAGGCGGAGGAGGAGGAGGGGGAGGAGGAGGAGGAGGGGGACGAGGAGGAGGAGGAGGAGGAGGTGGAGGCGGGGGAGGAGGAGGAAGAGGTTGGAAGAGGAGGAGGAGGAGGAGGAGGAGGAGGAGGAGGAGGAGGAGGAGGAGGAACAGTGTAAATCCAAGGCGCGCCAACGATATTGCATTATACCCTCCGCCCAAGTTCCCTCTCCATAGGTCCCTAGGTTCATGTATCTTTACTTCGGGAATTGGCCCATCAGAAAGCAATCGTCTGAGAATCCTCAGTCGCGCCGGAACGCCGATCCTGGGACGGCAGCGCCGTCGGTTAACGCGATTGTTGCGTCCTTGCAGTCCTAGCTCGTGTCAGGGCACCATTCCTGGGACTTCAACACGGGGGGTTAATGTGACTTTTGCGTCCTAGCAGTCCGGCGTCGTGCCGGAACACCATCCCTGGAACTTCAACGCCGCGATCCAAAGGGACTGTTGCGTCCTGATACTCTTAGATCGTGTTAGAACACCGTTCCTGGGATACATACGAGCCCTTGCACCAGTGGCACACGTTCGGGGCGATTGCTTGTGTCGCTTGTTTGAAAACTTCCACAAACTTTCAAGACGAATGTGCGCGGCGCCAAGGCGAGAGGCACATGTTGGAAAGCATCCGTTGTCCATCTTGGAAGCTGTTGCAAAGTTTTAAAACGAATGTGCGCGGCGCTGAGACTAGAGCTACAGTTTGGAAACCACCCACCCTCCATCCTTGAAGCTGTTGCGCACTTTGTAGACGAATGTGCGCGGCGCCAGAAGCGAGAAACGCACTTTGACAACGACCCGCACTCCACCCTTGAAGCTGCTGCAAACGTTCAAGGCGAATGTGCGCGGCGCCAAGGCGAGAGCCATCTTCTGAAAATGAACCGCCCTACATCTGTGAAACACTTGCAAGCTTTAAGACGGATGTGCGCAGCGCTAAGGCGAGAGATACATGTTGAAAATGGCCCGCCCTCCATCCGTGAAGCTGCTGTAAGTGCTTAAGTCGAATCTGCGCGGCGTTGAGGCGATAGGCACACTGGGAAAACGGTGCGCCGTCCATCTTTGCAGCATTCGCAAACTTCAGGCTTCAGGAGCATATGTTCGCCACCGTGGGCCCCAAACATAATGTTTCTAGCAATATGTGTTGCAATGTTGCAACCTGCGTGGTGCAACCTAGGTGGTGAAAGCTATGGTCTGCAATCTATGTTGTGCAATCTTTGCGGACCAATGTATGTGTTGCAATTCCTGTGGTGCAAATTGGTGGTGATGCAATCTATGTTGGGCAGCCTATGTTGCGCAGTCGAGTTTGTGCGCAATCTATATGGTGCATTCCTATGTAGTGCAACCTATGTTGCGCAATCGGCGTTGTGCAACATACGTTGTGCAGTACATGTGGTGCAATCTTTGTGGTGCAATCCATTTTTGCCCGCAGTGAGTTGTCAACACCGCTGCTCGCGCAGTCATCCCGCCCACCCACCAGCAATTTGGTTTGCAAAAGCCCTGCGGCGGTGATTGCGCTGGCTGCTTGGCGCTGACTGGTGCATCGATGCGGCCGCGCTAGCGCGCGCAGGCTCGCGTTCAGAGCGGCCAGCTAGTCTGGCGCAGCCGACGCGGCCAGGGTGTCGCTGACCGTTGGGAACTTCCCAGCGCTTCTCGCAGGCCGCGCTGACGCGCGTGCATTTCAGTGCGAGTCGGTGACTCGGGTGGGCGTGGTATCATGGCGACGCCGACAAAAGGCAGGCAAGATGATCATGTTACCGATGATGGTGACGATGATGGTGGCGACGACGGCAAGGACATTGACGGCGTCGATGCTGGTCACCCCGATGACGATGATTGTGTCCACGTGTCGGTGACGAAGGTTTTGGGAGGATTTCGACATGCGCGCGCGGCCGACGCGCGCGAGTGGTCCGCATGCTGTGCTTTGATAAGGGGTCGTGCCCCCCCAAGCATTCGGCCAAAGGCGTCCGAATGATAACGGCATGCGCTCGCGAGAGGGCTGCTTGCTCGCACTGGATGACAATGTCGGCAATCAAGAGCGCGCATATCCATATTGCAACTATATGTTTTACATATGTTGTTTCGGGAACGTCGGTTTTGCAATCTTCACGGATCCTGCGGTTTTTGACGGATTTCGTCATGCGCGCGCGACGCCGCGCGCGTGTGGACGTTGTTTCAGTTGTTGCCGTGGGTTCGTGCCCGCATCAAGCGCGCCAAGGCGTTCGAATAATTTCGGAATGCGCGCGCGTGAGGCCGGTTAGGGGCATTTGATGTTGCAGCCATTTTGGATTCTGGAAGATTTCGCAACGCGCGCGCAGATTTTTTTGAACAGCCATGTTGCACAGCCAGTCTTTCCCAACCATCCTGTGATGTTGGGCCTTCGTTTTGAAGAGACTTATAGGGAGCTCACCCGAAGATCCTAGTGGCAAAGTCCGCACGGCGTACCCAGTCCCGATTCTGCAAAACCCCCACACGTTTCGTGTCCCATTGGGAGTTCCACCGAAGGCCCCGGCGGCACAGTCCGCATTGCGCACCCGCACCCGATTCGGCACGCCCCTCACACGTTTCGTGGCCTTATGGGGGGCTTCACCAGAGGCCCCAGCGGCACAGTCAGCATGGCGTACCCGCACCCGATTCGGCACACCCCTCACACGTTTCGTGGCCCTATGGGGGGCTTCACCGAAGGCCTTGGCGGCACAGTCCGCATGACGTACCCGCACCCGATTCGGCGCATCCCTCATACGTTTTGTGGCCCCACAGGGAACTCCACCGAAAACCCAGGTGCCGCAGTCCGCATGGCGTACCCGCGCCCATTTCGGCACCTTCTTCGCACGTTTCGTGGCACTCAGGGAGCTTCACCGAAGGTCCGAGCGGCATAGCCCGCATGGCGTACCCGCGCCTGACTCGGCACACCCTCATAAGCTTCGTGGCCACGTAGGCCGCGCCACCGAAGGCCCCAGCGGCGCGGCCGCGGTAGCGCGCGCAGGCTCGCGCGCAGAGCGGTCAGCTAGTCTGGCGTGTCCGACGCGGCCACGATGGCGCTGACCGCTGGGAACTTCCCAGCGCGTCTCACAGGCCGCGCTGACGCGCGGGCACTCCAGTGCGAGTCGGTGACTCGGGTGGGCGCGGTCTCAAGGCGAGGTCGACACCAGCAGACATGATGATGATAGTAGCGACGCGGGTGTGGACGATGACAAGGACGACGGCAAGGGCAATGACGGCGCCGATGTTGCTCACGCCGATGACGATGATGGTGTCCTTGCGTCGGTGGTGGAGGATTTGTAAAGATTTCGATAAGCGCGTGGCCGACGCGCGCGAGTGTTCCGCACGCTGTACTTTGATTGGGACCTGCCCCCCCAGCGCGCGCGCGCAAGGGAGTTCGGATGATTTCGGCATGCGCGCATGAGAGGCACCTTTGGTAGAATTTGATAAACATCTGGAACAACGGTTTTGCAAAATCCCGAACGAAGGACATATAGTTTTATTCCCTTGTTATATTAAGAAGAATACTCCTGTGATTGTTTTATCTGTTTGCTCGGCACCACCGGATACTGCCAGTTGTACAGTTTTTTGAGTAAATAGGTTTTCGTGGCATTCGATTTTCACATCTTTATGCCACCTTATGGTTTCGAGCGAAAGCGACAAGCGCGCGACGACGCGTGTGAGTGTGTGTGTGTGTGTGCATTCCGTTCCATTCTTTTGCAAAGGATTCTTGCGCACGCGGGCAAGGGTGTTTGAATGTTTTCGACATGCGCGCGCGAGGGACACTTTTGGTCGCATTTGATTTGTATGTTGAAACGCCTCGGCTTTCTGTAGACTGCGCAAGAGCGCGAGTTCAGTTTTTCTTCCAGAGCAGACCCAGTTGCGAAGCCATTCGTTTCCAACCCTCCTATGGTGTTGGGTCTTCGTTTCGAGGAGACAGCGCCTACCGTTGTCCTCTCCTCCTCGTCCTCCCCCCATTCCTCCTCCCATCCCCGTGCCCCATTTCGGCACAAACCTAGCACGTTTCGTGGCCCCATAGGTGAGCTCCACTGAGAGGACTAGCGGCAGTGTCCGCTAGGCGGCCCCGCACCAGGCTCAGCACACCCTGCACACGTTTCGTGGCCCCATGGGGAGCTCCACCGGACTCCCCAGCGGCAGGGTCCGCTTGGCGGGTCCGCATCCGATTCGGCACACCCCTCACACGATTCGTGGCCCCAACGGAACCACCCGACCGAAGGCCCCAGCGGCAGGGTTGTCATGGCGGCCTGGATATCCATTTCGGCACACCCGTCGTACGTTTCGTGGCCCCACGGGGAGCTCCACCGAAGGCCCCAGTGGCAGGGTCTGCGTGACCGCCCCGCGCCCATTTCTGCACACCCATCGCACGCTTCGTGGCCCCATAAGGAGCTCCACCGAAGGCAGCAGCGGCAGGGTCCTGGTGGCCCCACCCCATGTCGGCACATCCGTCACACATTTCGTGGCCCCATAGGGGGCTCCTTGAAAGGCCCCAGCGGGAGGGTCCGCATGGCGGCCCCGCGCCAATTTCGGCAGGGTCCGCATGGCGGCCCCGTACCAATTTCGGCACACCCATCGCGCATTTCATTTCCCCATCGGGACTTGCCCCTTCTGCGTCCCACCTGCCTTGCGGCACTCGCACCCGCATATCGTTGGGTCCTTCGCCCGGATAATTCGTAAATTTCAGGGGCATTCGATGTCGAAGATTTCTGAGACATGCATGGCTTAAACTTTGAGACAAGCATATGACTACTGGCAGGATCAACCAGGTTTGTACTCAACCACTGAGCCCTGGCACGCCGAAGCATGCCAGAGACAGCAGTCTTGCACTCAAACAGTCAACCAGAGAATCCAGCAACACATGGCGACAAGCGCCAGCGCTGCAACTCATCAGAGCTTACTCTGCGACTCTGACGCGCCAGGCACGAAGAGCCGCGCAAAGCAGCACTACGCCCCAAGCGCCCAGGCCTCGCACGCTTAGCGTGCGCTGTTCTTTGAGGGATTTCGGCATGCGCGTGGGACGACGCGCGCGTGTGCACATCGTCCCCTTTTTTGCAAAGGGGTTCTTGGACCAAAATATTTGAAGATGAAGAAGTGCGCGCGCATGTTTTTTTTTCTGCAAGGGATGAGGGGCGGGGCGATACCGGTCTGGCTGGGATCATATGAACTCATCCTTAGAATGAACGATGGGGCATAATCATAAGTAAAGTGTGCATCGCCAGGGAGGGGGCTAAGTCTAACCTCGGGAAGGTGGTGGATCCAAGTTCCACTTTTTGAAAGGAGAACCTCTGTGACGATGCGACGAGGCGGCGGCGGGACGGCGACGGCGAGCACGGAACCGCCACACCGGCACGCAGGCCCAGGCGACGGGTGGCGACGAGGCGGCGACGGGCGGCGACGGCGAGCACGGAGCCGCTAGACCGGCACGGAGGCCCAGTTCCTTAGAAGAGAAGTATGGACCCCTGAGTGCAGGCACTGTGTGGGGAAAGTTCTGAGGAAGTCTCAGGCGAAACGCCTGGCCCGCCCTAGCGCCACGTCTTGGGGTGCGATAGGGAAGAGTTTTTTAGAAGGAGGAGGAGGAGGAGGAGGAGAAGGAGGATGAGGAGGAGGAGGAGAAGGAGGAGGAGGAGGAAGAGGAGGAGGAGGAGGGGGAGGATGACGAAGGAGGAGGGATAGCGGACGTACGAGGAGGGAGACAGAGTAAAATTTGGAGGAAGACGCCGAATTCGTGCTGCCTTGAGGCTTCGCTATCGAGCAAGCCTTTGGCCAACAGGGCCTCTGAAGTGTGCAGCACATCGTGTTGCATCGTGGGCGCTGAGTTGTCGCTCCTGTAGGCGTCCCGCGTCCCCAGCGAGAGGACGGACATGGGGATAGTTGGGGGGGGGAGCGCAGGAAAGGGGGGGCAAGGCTTGTGGGCACCAGGGTCTGCTGGTCCACCAGCGGGTGCGCATAATACATCAGATGATCAGTCATCGCTGATCTCACACTCAAAGTCGGTCTCCAGAGAGCTCTCGGCGACGGCAGTCAGGTAGTTTACCAACTCGGCCCATTAGGCTGGGAGGAGCCAGAGTGGACCCCACTGTGGTTGTAATGGTGCCTAAGTTTTTTGTTGCTTAAAAATAATGTAACACATTTAAATAACATAACAAACATCAAAGTACGGAAACAGTTTGAGGCCAATGCTATCAGAAAGTTCAAATTCCAAGTTGCGAGAATCCTGAAGCTCGGGGAAAGTTTGAGTAAAGCTCGGCGGCGAAGAAGTTCCATATGTCCGGAGCGCGTGTGAACATTTCGTGAACTCCCGAATTTGTTTTGAAGTTTGTCTTTTTTTCCGGAACATCCCCGAAGTTGTTCCGAACGTTGGGACATAGTTCGAACTTTTTTGATTTTGGTTAGAACTTTGTCCAAACTCTGCTTGAATCGTTCGAACTGTTTTCGGGTCTCCCCCCCGGCACTTTCGAGGCTGTCTCGAGCTCCTGCCCTCCACGGCCTCCGAGCTCGGGCTTCAGACTCCCTCCCCGCAGGCTCGAGCTCCGCGCCCTAACTTTTTTCCCAGGCAGGCCCATCGCTCCCCCCATACAGTCGGGGCGCTGAAGAAGGAACCCTGTTCGTTGGGGAGGGGCTCGGTGTTCCTTGATAGTTTTTCAGTTAGTTTCGTTTTCCTTAGGTTTTCGATGGGAAGTCGAAGTTTACCTCTGGAGAAAAGGGGCCTCGTTCCTTATCTAGGGTTCCTTAGGTCAACGCCCCGACTGTAACTTTTTTCCCAGGTAGGCCCATCGCTCCCCCCATACAGCCGGCTGCAGCACCGTGGCCTCGCTGGAGCCCCGAGGGCCGCCCTCGGGGGGTGGGCGGCGGCCTCGGCACGCCGGCCCCTCCCGGGAGCCTGCTCGGGGGGAGGCCAGGCCGCGGCCTCCACGAGTGCTGCGGCCGCCACGGGCCACCGTGAGAGGCCGGAGGAGGAGGAGGAGGAGGAGGAGGAGGAGGAGGAGGAGGAGGAGGAGGAGGAGGAGGAGGAGGAGGAGGTCATAGCCGCGGGTGTGGCGCGAAGACAATCGCGCCTCGCGCGTCGCGGTCTGGGCCAGTGCGGCCGCCCCTCTCAAGAGGGGGCTGTTCTTCCACCTCAGACTTGAGCCAAACCGGCAACACAGGAAACCCCACCAGGGGCCAAAGCGCATGCAGGCGTAGCGTCGTGCCGTCTTCGGATCGACTCTCCTCCCAGGTTCGTGCACGGGCAGGGTCGCACCGCATTCCCCGAGTGGCTATGCTACACTGCTGCTGGATCCTGTATCCACCTGCACATCCCCGAACTCGAGACACGATTGCTTGCCCCACGCACGCTCTGTGCGCAAGGTCTGTGTTAGGCATGTGGGCTCGACAAGACAAGACCTGCGACATCAATACATGCAATCTTTTTTTTTGGGGGGGGGGGGCGGGGGGCAGGGAGGGCATTTGGCGGACCCCCCCCCCCCCCCCCCCCCCCCCACTCTTTCACCTTAACTACAACCCCAAGTGGCGGATAGTCTCCGCGCGATGATGTCTGCGAGTCGCCTCTCTTGCAAGTTGCTGCAAGCATGCACGTGCAATCTGTCACATGCGGTGCAGCGACATCTACCCCAACACTCGGAAGGGTGGGTGAGGGGGGCGGGGGGGGAGTGGAGGGAGAGGAGGAAGGGGGCAACTGGAGGAGGGAGGCAGGGGGTGGGGGTCGGGGGGAAGGGGAGAGGAAGGGTAATTGGAAGGGGGCCGAGGGGGGGACGGGCGGAGGGACGCGGGCGGGGGGGGGAACTGGGGGTCCTGACATTTTGGCGTCGCGAAGCAATGAGAACACGAGGGGGGTGTCCTGGCCGTTTGGCTTGTGAGGGCCCTCACCAGGTCCTGAGGCCGTCAGACTTCGACTCATGATGAGGAGCTGGCCATCGGGAAGGGGTCAAGACCTCTGGGCAGCCACGCTGTGACAAAAGCACGACGTCGGATGTATAGGAAGGAGGGAAGAAGGGGTATTTGCTGGCTATTTCTCAAAAGGCGGTCGACAGCTTGCTGAAGCCACCTGCTGCACCCCAGCTTCCCCCATGCCGAGGCCCTCCTCCTCCTCCTCCTCCTCCTCCTCCTCCTCCTCCTCCTCCTCCTCCTCCCCCTCAACCTCCTCCACCTTCTCCGTTTCCTCCCCCTCCTCCTCCTCCTCCTCCTCCTCCTCGGCGCCTGCCCGCACTCTGGCCGGGAGTGAGAGCCTGGCCTGGTGCCATCATGCCAGCATCTGCCAACCTCAGTCTGCGCGCGCCTCGTGCGATACGCTTCAAATGCTCGCAGGCCGAATCCGTTCGGAAGCCACGGCACGGGCAAGTCAGTAACTGTGCAGCCTGCTTCCACCACTTCGCTTCCGGGATCTCAAGCACGCGCATCTACTGCACCAGAATTGCCGGTTTCCTGGTCGAAACGCTGTGCGTTCCGTGAATGGTCGTACCGCCCGCAACAGTAATACAAATCACGCGCTGGAGCTTGATCTGGGTTGCTGCAGCTGGCAGCGTGCGCAAATGGCAACCCTGGGCAACGCGGGTCCTCCATTAGCTACTCCAGGCTCCAGCAAGCATATTTTTGCATGGGCCTCGCAGAAATTTCCGGAATGCTCATGTATTGTTGGCATGCCGGAACATTTGGCCGCCGTTCGCCGCGTTGATATCCAAGGCCGCGCTCCTCGGATAACACGTGCACGCGGTCAGCGCTCCTTGCCTGCAACTGCCAGGCGCTTGTGCACTTGGGGGTGGTCAGCACGTCTACACGGCCGAGCACGTGCTCCTCAGCCTGGATACGGCCAGCGGCATGCCCAGCCCCGCGCTGCGCCAACACATCCCCAGTTTCCTTGCCTGAAGTGGCGCTCAAAAGCTGCAAGCATGACTGCAGGGACCTCGCATCCAAGTGTGGTAAGCCGTGCCTCTGGGCATGTGGGACGGAGAGCAGGGGGGGGGAGAGGAGGGTAAAGGCGGAGGGGAGGGGGGGAGGAGGATGGGGATGGGAGGGGAGGGTGCGAAGAGGGGGATGGGGAGAGGAGCGGGAGGACGATGATGATGATGATGATGATGATGATGATGATGATGATGATGATGATGATGATGATGATGATGATGCTGAGGAGGAGGATGAGGAGGAGGAGGAGGACCAGTGTAAACCCAAGAGTCAGCAACGCTGTTGGAGTTAATCCTTTCTCCAAGCTCCTTCGTCATAGGCCCATACAACGATTCATTTCCATTGAGAGGACTGCCTCGTTGGAGGACAACCGTTGGAAGATTTTGAAGCGTGCCAAAACATCGTTCTCGGGATTTGCCACGCCATGTGTCAACCTGACTGCTGCGTCTCGTACCAGGACGTCATTTCTGGGACTTCAACACCGCGAATCAACATAACTGATGCGCCCGCATAATGCTGAATCCTTCCCAAACGCAATTTCTGGTACGTTGATCAGGGGAACCCGTGAAACTCTCGCATTTTTTAGAACGAATGTGCGCGGCGCTAAGGCGAGAGCCACACTTTGAAAAGGAACCGCCATCAATTCGTGGAACTCTTGCAGTTTTTTAATTCGAATGAGCGCAGCGCTCAGGCGAGAGCCACATTTTGAAAACGACCCGCCCTCAACCCGTGAAACTCTTACAATTGTCTAAGCAACGAATGTGCGCGGCGCTAAGGCGAGAGCCACATTTTGAAAGCACCCCACCCTCAATCTGTGAAATTCTTGCAATTGTTTAATTCGAATGTGCGCGGCGCTCAGGCAAGAGCCACATTTTGAACAAGACCCGCCCTCAATCCGTGAAGCTCTTGCAAATTAAAAGAAAGAAAGTACGCGGCGCTAAGGCGAGAGCCACATTTCGAAAACGACCCTCCCTCCATCTTTGAAACTATTGCCAGTTCTGAAGCTTCAGAGTCATACATGGTGAGGGAGTCTCAGGTGAAACGCCCGGCACGCCCTAAAAACTGGCCTCGGGGTGCGGCAGGGAGAAGTTATCTATAAGGGGAAGGAATGAAGGAGGAGGAGGATGAGGAGGAGGAGGAGGAGGAGGAAGAGGAAGCGGAGCAGGAGAAGCAGGAGAAGGTGGAGGAGGAGGAGGAGGAGGAGGAGGAGAATGAGGAGGAGGAGGAGGAGGAGGAGGAGGAGGAGGAGGAGGAGGAGGAGGAGGAGGAGGAGGAGGAGGAGGATGAGAGGAGGTGGGGGACGGTGTGGGGGAGGGGGCGGATGGGGAAGGGTGGGTCGGGAGTCGGGGGGTCGGTTCTGCGGCCTAGAGGGCACGATGCGTGCTGCTGTGAGAGCGTCATTTGAGTGGCTGGAGGCCTTAATACGGCATGCCATCTTTTGTCGCCTTGCGGCATGCCGTCTACCGCTGGTCCTCCTTGACTGCGCCGCGGAGCCTTCAGGCTTGAAGGCTGGAGGCTTTTTCGCCCAACTGGGACCGGCCTGCCGAAACGGAGAGCAGAGAAGATAAGCCCATCGCCAGGATGTCGGATAAAACAGTGCGAAGAGGTGTGGTGGTCACGATCTCCTCGCCGAGCAAGCGTAAGGTCCAAGAGAACCGGTTTTTGGTCGGCTAGATGAACTTCGTGGCCCC